TTCTTTTTTCAAATTCTTTGCTATTTTCTTTCTGAAGGTTTGTCTTGAAGACTGAATTCATCCCGGCCAAATACAGAGCTTTTCTGCTGCCTCTTGCCTCAGTGAGTGCAAAATGTAAAGTTATGTTTGACCTTCAACTGGGAAACATTCAATACTGACCTTACCTGTGATTGGTTGACAGATCTTCTGGATGCTGGGATCTATGCTTATTATTATTCTCGGGATGACGGTGGTGCCCACAATGGGTTGGCGCTGGATGATCTGTTTTTCTATCATCCCCAGCATCATTCTCATTGGACTCTTCATGGTGAGTTTTGTCTAAATGGTGCTGAAACATGCTGAGGGAAATGGAAGTAGATGTTTGTCTTTGACTCACTTGCTCACTCTTTTCCTTTTTTAGTTTATTCCTGAGTCTGCACGGTTCCAGGTCTCAGCAGGGAACATACAAGGAGCCATGTCTACACTTAATTGGATCGCTAGGATGAATGGTGTCACCTTACCTGAAGGAGAACTACGGGAACCCGAAGTGGTGAGTATGAGAAGTTCCTTTTTCTTTATCTGTGTTATGTATGACTCTTAACAGTTTCAGTTAAGCAATAAGCAAAAGTAATTAAGTAAATAAGCAAATCATTTTCAGTAATATATAGATTATATTATAAATAAGGATGCTCTGATAGTAAAAATGTAGGACAAAAACTATGAACCAATAATTAATTATTTTCAAACTTGTAAATGACCAATATAAAAATTGTAAATAAATTACAAATTAAAAATGTGAATTTAGGCATCACAGCATAATAATGTAGTATGGAAATTTTGCTCGAGATCACATTTTAACGTTTAACGTTTAATGATCACATTTTCAAGACGAGAAGGTCTTTAGATTTAATTTAAATCTAAAAATACAAAAAATGACCATGCACAATTAAATATACAATATTTACAGATAAATAAAAATATCAGCCAATAACCAATATGGTGCTGATATATTGTACATTATTTAAAAAATATAGACAGACCCATATCCTACACACAGATGTACTTCTTTTTGTAATGTGTAATAATGAAGCCTGATTTCAAAATGTATAAATAGTTTGAGACAGTAGGTTGTATTTTTTCAGTGGTTATGAAGTATCTGGCAGTGAAAAAAGGCACTCATCTCTCTCATCTAATGATCATCTTTGCATTTATATGAGTGTAAACGCACTTGAGTGCAAGTAACAGGACTGTTTGTATTCAGACAGAAAGAGGAAATGCTGTCACTCTGATCAGCCCGGCTTTTAGAAGAACATCACTTTTGCTGTGGTACTCATGGTAATGTCTAACATACTTCCCTTTGGTTTGTTTGATTGGTGTTGTGTGTGTGAAATCAGCAAATACACTTGCTTGGTCACTGTGCTAGATGTGTGACGCATTGCATTGTTCATCCACAGGTTTGTGGCCTCCTTCTCCTATTATGGCTCAGTTCTGAGCAGTTCTGAGTTACTGGAGAAGAATCTTCTGTGCATGACGGATGCTGATCCAGAGCACCAGATCAAACACAACCAGGAGGAGGCGCTGTGTTACTGTATCCCATTCAACATGGCTGATTACCAGACTCTCCTCATCAGCTGTTTGGGCGAGGTGGCACGTGAGTGACCCTTGACCTCTCACTCAACCTAGTTTCACACACTCAGCTTAGTCGAATGTTGAAAGTTGATGTATGTTTTTCCATGTGTTTCCTCTGCAGTCATACCCCTCAATATTGGCTTGTTAAATATATTTGGGCGGAAGCCCAGTATGGCCATACTTCAGGTGCTGTCGGCCATTTTCTTCATGCTTGTTAATATTTGCACAACAATGTGAGTATATTGTTCACTTGTTCTGTAAAATGATTTCAAATGCTTTTCATCGTGGTTATTATTGTTAACTAAAACTAGAACTATCATATATATATATATAATATTTAATATCTACATTTATTTAATAATATTTCATATATTTCATATTTAGACTTTTTTTCCAATGAGTTGCCAAGGCATCATTTTTTTTTAATACTAAAATAACCAAAACTGAAATAAAATGTATAAAAGCTATACAGATATATAAAGAACAAAAATGTATGAAAATGACAAAAGCACAACAAAATGACAAAAATTTAAAATAAAATGAAAACAGAAAATATAAATATAAAATATATATAAATATTTAAAAAATAAATACTAGTTCAAAATATTATTAAAAGCTATACTATATTAATGATACTAAAATGACACTGCGCTTCACTAGTCCCCCTTTACATCACAATATTTATTTTATTGCGTTTTTATGTAATTCTATGTGCATTTAATGTTGAATTATATTTTGTACCTGCTATGTATATATATAAGTACATACTGCTTTTATTATTGCTGTAGTAATTAATTTTAGTGCCATATGTGTTTAGATACTATTAGTGTTCATTGTGTTCAATACAAAAACTCAGAGTTGTGTACGTCTAGATGACATTGTGTCTTTAAAAAAATAAAAATTGTTTTACATATTGTATGTATACTATAAACTGTATGTGTACATAAACTATACTGAAGATAAAAAGTAGTATGGTAGTATGCTAGTATGCACATAGTCATTTACTCACAATAATGGTATTCAAACATTTTGTGGCTCTCCTGTGACCACGTGTTAGAAGTGCAGCTGAAGTAGAAAACTGAAAAATGTTTCTCTGCCTCTGCAGGTTTGGTTTCACTGTACTACTCTTCCTTCTCCGCTCTGTGGTTTCCATGAATTTTAATGTGGTCTATATTTATACAGCAGAGGTGAGACCCGACATACAGTATGGACACTCCACTTACTCTTAGTGGAAGAGTTCACCACAAAATTAAAATTGTCACGATTGGTGTTTGCGTACAGGTTTATCCCACGGCCGTGCGCTCAATTGGAATGGGCTTTTGCACATCCTTCAGTCGAGTTGGAGGAATGATCGCACCTTTTATTGCACAGGTGCTCTATGTGTTTTACTTTGTATGTGTGTGTGTGTGTGTAAATAAAGATCTGTGTTCAAATGTGTGCTTAACACATTTGATTTACACAAAGATAACACTGTGTTTGCGTGTGTCATAGGTGTTAATGTCTAAGTCTGTAATTCTGGCCCTGTCACCGTTCGCCACAGCGTGTGTGATTTGTGCGGTGGGAGTGGCATTTTTGCCCATTGAGACCAGAGGACGTGCATTACTAGTAAGCATCTTCATATTTTCTCCCACATTTCTCAAAGCAGACTTTAACCGAGGTCAGATTGAGAGTTTAACAACTTGACATTTTGTTTTGTTCCTCTATTTCAGCAAGATGCCTGAAATACACCTGATGGAAATGAAGGACAATTGCACTTTTGTAACAAAACATGATCTCATATTAAAGCTGGAACAATTTTCTATTAATTTTAATGTTGCCTGTGTTGACATATTTCCGATTTTAACAGGAAGTTGGATTGGGACATCAAAACCACAATTTACTACTTGACAGTTGGTGGCAGGTAGAATTGAGAGGGAAATCCTATGTTACTGAGCATTTTATAGGGACAAAATTCTATATGCTCTTATGAACAAGATTAGTCATCAATATTTTAAGTCCATTTTCCATATGTAGGGTGTCTGCTTAAATTTTGTTATCATTTTGGAGTACACTAGCAGAGAGATTCGTTTAGGTCATAATTTTGTCTTTTGTCAAAAATAAATATAATTTAGTAAAAAAAAAAAAAAAAAAAATTATAATTACTTTTTAGATTAAACCAAAAAATTCAAACATTTTATATGCTAATAGAAGAATCAGCATGTAACAAAACCAAAACTGTCCATGTAAAAACCTAAACTCCTGCAATATCATCGTAGTAAGCTATTGAAATACAATGTTGTGTATTATTCCTGCTTCAGTTATTCATTATCCGTGTATTGTTTACGGAAAGAGCATATTCACATTACGCATTCTGAGCAAGCACGTAGCCTACGTTAAAGTGCATTCGCGCCATATTTGCCCATACAAGTTGTAAAATTACATTTATGCGGTGTATATTTCTGGTTTTGTTTGGGTGAGTTAACTAAGCTGCTAGCAGAGTGATTCAGCTCAGGCGGGGCGGTCCTATGTATTTTAATATCGCACGCTGTTTTCCCTTGACGTTTCGTCAACAGTGCTTTAGCCTATGAATTAAAATGTAATTCTCGTCATGTTTAGTTTCGTTAACGACTATTTTCGTGCGTACTTTAGTTTACGGCATGAACGCCGTGTTATTTAAATTGAAGGGCCCTCTTTTCTTGGAGACCAGTGTGACAGGAGACCATTCCCTGTTGTTTCTTCAGGGGTGGCCCTCAATTATTCCTCAAACAGACGAACGAGTTTCTGAATGAATGACTGAAATTATGAATTTCTCTTTAATCTAAAATACAATAACAGCCACTTGAGGGAGACATTGCGCTCTTTATGTGTTCGGCAGGGACAGTCAAAAGTGTGGCAGTTTAAGGTAATGTACTCCAGATCTGTGTTTCCTCCACCTCTCTTCTCTTACCCTCCCTCATCTGTGCTGTGTAATCTCTTTAAGAAGTCTCCGTCCCGGGGCAAATCAGATTAGATTTAGGGCTGCTTTCTATAACACTCCTACAGCACCAGCAGATCCTCTGCAATACTGAATAATTAATTTGTACGATTAACATGCTCTGCCTGCAACATGGGAACCATCTACTACAGGATGTATGTGACATAGAGATGCATGTGTGTGTCCTGAAAGACAATGGTTGTGTTTGTTGTCTGTTTGAAAGTGTGTGTGTAGAGGAGGATTCAGCATGTGCCTGGTAGCTCCTTCCTCTGACCTTGGCTACAGAGAGATGGAGAGAGAAAGAGGACAGTGTGTGTGTGTGTGTGTGTGTGTGTGTGAAGCGGTGGAGCTAATTCCTGCACTGCAGCTGCGTATATGATACCAGAGTTAATGTGGCACCAACAGCTCTAGATCCACTTGGGAACTTTCCAGAGAAAAAGAGAGACGAGGAAGGAAAGCATGTCAGCAGCATGTACACACCGCAGAGAAGCAGCACGGTAAATCTCACTTGCATTGAATGTATTTGTGTGTGTGCATGTGTCAGTCTGGTGCAGCAGTGTTGATGCTTTGTGACAGGATCTTAAGGAGCCTATATTCAGATGCTAGATATGATGTGGAAAGAGGTGAAAAAGCATATGACTGCAGCTGCTGGATGGTCATTCTTGGTGCATGCTTACATGGTAACGCTTTGACACTATATACCCAATGAATGACTGTATAATTTCATTAATATGTGCAAATGTCCATATACAGTAGTTTCACAGTGCAATCAATGTCTGAATGGCTGACTAGAAGAAAAGCTGATCGATCCTTTTTCTGCAGCACTTGCCTTGCGTTCTGTAATCCTCTGCTCTCAAACTGCACAGCAGTCAATCACTGAGACATTTGAGAGAAGAGGGAGGGGAAAAAAGATATTGATACAGGTCATTTATTTTTATGGTCATGCTTTAGGGTTTTGCCCTCCATTTACACGAGGATCATGTGTGAATGACCTCCAATAAAACCAGGGGAGTTTTCGTTTTGAGAGTAACTTGTTGTTCTTATTCTTACACAGTTTCCATTAACTACTTGTGAGAATTTTCTTTGCTTAAAAGAACAGATCATTTCTTTTGATCAGAAATTACAATACTTTCATCATTTACTTACCCTCAAACCCGTTTCACTTTCTTTCTTCCATACAGCACAAAAGGAGATGTTTAGCAGAATGTTCATGCTGTTCTTTTCTGTACAATGTAAATGAATGGTGACCAGGGTCTGTCAAACTACAAAAATTAAAAATAGTAGGGGTGGGGTAAAAATCGATTCACATGAATCATTACATTACAGTACATAAAATGTATTAATATTTATTAGGCTACCATTAGGGGTTCCGTATACATGTCATTTCCTTTCCGAACACGGTATTCGGATTCGGGCACATCCCTAATGGGAATTAGGAAGTGTAAAATATCTTTGATTTATTAGGAAGTTAATAGTTAATAGGACACACCGATTTCTTGAGTGAGGACTACCCATACTATTGACTGGTGCATTTTTGTATCAAAATACTGGTGCGTTTGATGTCCAGTGTGCACAAAATATTTGATGAAAAATTGTGAATTGAGATTAAAAATCGAGAAATCGTGAATCGATTTTGAATTGAATCATGACCCCAAGAATTGATATGAATCGAATCGTAAGGTACCGAAAGATTCCCACCTCTAAAAAATAGTGCTATAGAAGTAGTCCAAATGTCAAAAATAGCTTTGTGTGAGGAACAGACTGAAATTTAATTGAAATGATTTTCTTCTAAACTCTCAAATTTGTACAATTATATTTGTGTGCATATGATCACAAATGAGGTGTGAGGAAGATTATTTAATGAACATTATGAATAACAAATGTACAGGTTGCTCTGTTCCAAGCAAAAATAGCTATTATGTGGCCTTAGTAAACTTAGAATAAAATACATTTATGATTATTTTTTTTTGTTATTCTTGGAACGTGACAGCTCCTGGTCACCATTCAATTTTGATAACAGACTTTTAATTTCATCAAGTTAAGAGAAAGATTAGTGTGACAGTCACCTTGTCTCACCCATAATCCCGTCTTTCTCCCAGTGGGTTGCTTTCCCATGAGTTACAGTAATACCAGACTGACCCCATCTTCAAAGGTCCTAAACTTTAGACACTATGTCAGTATCTGCTTTAATTCATTTGAACAATCTAAGCACACTTGCTGTATCATATTCTATCATAAAGACAAGACACAGATGTGCACAGATTACACTGTCATCAATTTTAAAGACAAGTTAGTGCAAGAAGGGGAAGAAATCAGCTATTAAAAGGATTTGGACACCAATATCAAACTTAAATAGACTGCTTATCATTGCAGATATAATCATGAGATATCAAATCAGGCATCATCTGCATGCAAGCTCATATAATGAGTCATTCTTATGTGGGCGCTTAGAGGTCAAACTTTTCATCCAGGCTGAACTGCACGGCTGAGTAATAGTGCTGAGTGAATTGAGTCAATGCAGTTACTGTAATCTTTTGTAATGTGCGTAATGAAGTGGTTTACTGTCTGGGGTTTATTGCTTTCTCTATGGAACACTGTAAACCCCACCTCTTTTACTCAACAGCCAATCAGAATGATCATTGGAGTCAGTGCAGGAGCCACAGACCACTCCGAACACATTTTGATTACCTCTCTGTCTGTCAATCTATCTATCTATCTGAGATTTATTATTATTGTTATTTGTTTGTTTGTTTACTCAAAATTTCCTAAAATATTGAAAACAAATATTTTGCATTATCAATTGATCAAAGCTTTGAATTTTTTGGAAAGCATCAACTAAATAATCGCTCTGAAGCTTATATTATATCTATAATATATTCACTAATTATTACTAATTGTAACTATATAGTGTATTTATTAATATAGTATAATAAATACTTATTACTAATAATTTATTATACTAAATCACAAATTATTTATTGCACTTATATAATAATTTGTAAGAAAGTCCAAGGCAATTCAATTAATTTAATTTCAATATAAATATATTGTGTCAATAAAATGTCTCTTGTAAAAATATGTCTTATATTAGCAGTGACACATTGAGTGTCACTGAGCTGAGGAGCTAATGAGAAGACGTGTGTCTGAGTGGAACATGATGTGCAGATGGATAGTGAGAAATAAGAATGTGGCAGAACTTTTGCTGACGCATCTGCCTCACAGCCTGTCTATGCGAATTGCTTTCCTTTTTATCTCCATCTAAACGATGGGAGATCAAATTCTCTGTTCCCTATTCCATGTTCATCTCTTCCCCATATGTACAAAATCACCCTGCATTCTCTGGAAATAATTTCACTTCCTCAGATGTCCTGTGTCTGGTGCCTTCTGGAGGTGAGCTGACTCCTGTGCGGGTCACTGGGGTCGTGTGAGGAGCAAATATGTGGGAAGGCCAGTCTGAGGCGAGTCAGGCGCACACCCTGTTCGATGCCTTCGTGCAGGCCGCCACATGCAGGGAGACCCTCAGGGCCTTCCAGGAGCTGTGTAAAGAGCTGAAGCTGCATCCCGGCAGTCAGCCGCAGTTCTACCACACCATGAGGAGCAGACTGCACGACTGGAAGGCCAAAGCATTATGGGCCAAACTGGATAAAAGAGCCAGCCATAGAGAGTACATGAGAGGCCATGCTTGCACCAGCACCACGGTACAAAGAGTCCCCCGCAGTGCATTGCAGGAGAGAGTTGTCTGTACTAGTCCACTGACAGCGGTTTCACATGCAGGTTTTTGTTGTGTGTTCAGTGTCTGATCATAGGTGCAGGTCCATGTGGATTGCGGACGGCTATAGAGCTGCGATTTCTGGGCGCCAGGGTGGTTCTGGTGGAAAAGCGAGATGCTTTCTCACGGAACAATGTTCTTCATCTTTGGCCCTTCACCATCCAGGACCTCCGTGGTTTGGGGGCCAAAAAGTTCTACGGGAAGTTCTGTGCTGGAGCCATAGACCATATTAGTGAGTAAATGTGAACTTGAGCTCAAAACTGAGTTGAATGCACATTTGTGGTTTTATTGTATGGACTTTATCAGTGCAAATTATTCCAAAGGAAAAAAAAAACTGCTCCACCTCTGAAACACCTTCTTTTCCAAGTGACATAATTAAGGCCATGCAGGCTACTGGTCAATTCTTACTTTTCACAATCCAATCAATTCCCAGTGAATCAAGTCCCAACCTACTTTTTCTCATTATTCATCCTTTTTTTTATATAGTTTTTTTTTTTTTCAGTATTTGCTCATATTTGATATTTGAATTAGTATGAAATTTGCATTCCCTCTGTTCATTTTTTACATCTACAATTTACTTTACATTTACCATTTAATATAAAAAATGTAGATTCAAAGTGGATTTATATAATGTATAGTTTATATTTTATGTATTAAGTTAATTTAGTCTGAAGCAATTCTCAAAATGAATATCTATTTTTCATACTGTACATTAGGGCTGCACGATAAATCGCATGCGATATTTAATGCGCATCTTGTCAGTAAAGCCGTTCTGTAATTTGTATATATATAATTTTTTTTCAACAATTTGTTGGTAGTGCTTTCTGAAAACATTAGTGACAGATTGTCATTTGTTGGCTCTGATTGTGTTGATTTCTAGTCTTTTTCTCATTATTTATCTGGTTTTATCTGTAAATGTTACATTACGAGAGTAACATGGATTTGAATGGCATCTAATGCTTATTAAGACCATTTAATTCCCATTTTCATGTTAATCTGATTTTATCAACATCTATGTATGTGCAGGTATTCGTCGGCTGCAGCTGATGCTTTTGAAGGTGGCCTTGTTATTGGGTGTTGAGGTTCATGTGAATGTGGAGTTCAAACATCTAGTGGAACCTCCAGAGGACCAGGAGAAGCGTAAGAATGTAATCAAATACAATTTCACCCTAAGTTTACCTGCAAAATTAATTGTCAATTTTCACGTTTGTCCTGTTCAGGTGTTGGTTGGCGAGCAGAGGTCCATCCCAACGCTCATCCAGTCAGTCAGCTGGAGTTTGATGTGGTTATTGGGGCAGACGGTAGAAGAAACACTATACCAGGTATCTGCAAAAACACATGGTCTCGAGCCTGTTGTGATCACAGATTATCCAATCAGAAATGCAACAAACTAATGTCATGATTGATAACAGTGTCTTCCCGGTTTCACACCATTTCGTAACTTTAGTTCCCCAGTTTCCTGCTGATTAACAATGGCCTTGCTTTTTTTCTCTCTCACACATTCGCCAAAACCCAAAAACATGTTGTGCACAATTTGTTCTGTAATTTGTTTTTCATTGAGGATATGATGCCACTCATATTTTGGTTAATTAATGGCACGAGCTAAAAAAACCCTTCTGCTTTAGACTTAAGATGTGTAAAGAAGTGTAAAAGATTTAGTACAAAAAAATAGAGAAAAGTTAAAATAGAACTTGAAAGCTTAGCTACACTATTGAATGAGATAATATATGATTTTGTGATTTATCAGCCAGATAACGGCATCCAGAAATAATATTAAGGAATATGTTAGGGAATATATAGTGTAATACTAGAGTGAAAAGCTATTTTATATTCAATGTCTCTTTTTATAATGACTGTGCTGACAATATATAATATAAAGACATATAGTTACTGAAGTACTGAAATACTGAAGTAAAAAAATGTAATGTTGAGGAACATCAAATGCTTGAAAAGTGACCAGCTTTGGCAAGAAGTGTATCACATGCTCCCAGAGTTTCGCAGTCATCTATAACAGACAGTTCCCCTATTCTAATTTTACACTGTTTTGGACGTCACTAATTCATTTTCTGGGTTTCAAAGCCTCTGTTTGATGGTTTTATTCGTCTGGGTCTGTTAGGGTTTCGCAGGAAGGAGTTTCGGGGGAAACTGGCCATTGCCATCACGGCGAATTTCATCAATCGCAACACCACTGCCGAAGCTAAAGTGGAGGAGATCAGCGGTGTCGCCTTCATCTTCAACCAGAGGTTTTTCCAGGATCTCCGGCAGGCTACCGGTACTGAGTTATGTCATTATACAGTGTCTTACTACACTAGATACCAAAACCTCACGTATTGCACTCAAATGTATTTTAAGCAACTAACATAAATGTTTACATACAGCAGTTAAGCTTCTTTGTCTTCTCAAATATGAACGAGTTTATCATGTTTAAGATGATGAAAACAATAATGATTATCAGTCAACGTCTTTTCTGTGCAGGAATTGATCTGGAGAATATAGTATATTACAAAGACGACACCCACTACTTTGTAATGACCGCCAAAAAGCAAAGTCTTCTGGACAAAGGAGTCATTCTGCGCGTGAGTCTAATATCATGTGCATTCATCCGCATATCGTACGCATTGATTTGTGAGTGACTGTTCTCTTGTGTTTGTTTTGCAGGATTATGCTGACACTGAGATGCTGCTGTCCAGGGATAATGTGGACCAGAATGCACTGCTCTCGTATGCTCGTGAAGCAGCTGATTTCTCCACCAATCATCAGCTCCCTACGCTGGACTTTGCCATCAACCACTATGGGCAGCCAGATGTGGCCATGTTTGACTTTACCTGCATGTATGCGTCTGAGAATGCAGCGATGGTGCGTCAGCGCAGGGGACACCCTCTGCTGGTCGCTCTGGTGGGGGATAGTTTACTAGAGGTGAGAGAACAATGAACAATTAAAAAGTTTATTTGCCTAATGTCCTAGTAAAAGTCCAAATTACCTTAAAAAACATCAATGAACCTGAGAAGAAATATTGCGCAAGATATTAAGGCTTGCTTTTGGTAGGAATGCACAATATTTTGGTATCCTGTGTGTGTGTGTGTCTATCTATCTATCTATCTATCTATCGATCTATCTAAATCTATATATCTATCTATCTATCTAAATCTATATATCTATATCAAATTGATTAAAGTCACCATGAAATCAAAATGGAAAATTCTTATTTTTTAATGGAATACTGTAGTGTTTATTATAAATAATTTATCCGTGCACTTCATTATTTTTTTTTTAATTCATGAGCCCTCGTAATCTTTAATCAAAAACGTTAACCTCCCCTCAAAACGACGACTCTACTCTTCCGGTCACGAGCTATGGCGCAAGGGCGGAGCTATCTGGAACTGCCAGCAGCTGCAGTGACATCAGTGACGTTTGGAATAAACGACAGGGGGAAAAGCTGAAGCTGATGCTTCACTCTATAGCACTGACACCAGTCATAAGGGAGTACGTTACCCCTAAACATTGAAAAGATATTAGGATATTACGACAACATTACTCTTAGGACATCGCAAACTAATTTTTTTCATGAATATAACTTAACCTGATGGAGGACGCGCTCAGTCATTCAGGCAGTCTCTCTCTCTCTCTCTCTCTCATGTTTTGTACCGTTGATCGTCGTTGTCATCCTTAATAAATAAAACATTTATTCATGCTTGGGTGTCGGCTGTGAATGGAGAGAAATCCCCTACCACTAACTGCAAACTGGCATTCAGATCTGCCTCCATTTTGTTAGCAACGCCCCAAATTCCAACGATCCAATCAATTCCCGAAGGATGGCTATCTAAAACACATTTTGTATTTATTTTAGGGCTGTCAAACCGACTAATCGCGATTAATCGCATCCAAAATAAAAGGTTGTGTTTACATAATATATGTGTGTGTACTGTGTATATTTATATGTATATATAAATATATACACACATACATGTATATATATATTTAAGAAATAACTGTAATATACGTGTATATTTATATTTATTTAATATAAATCATATATAAATATAATAATAATACACACACACACACACACACACACACACATATATATATATATATATATATGTATGTATGTATATATGTGTGTGTGTGTGTGTATTTACATGTGTGTGTGTGGGATCAGTAAAATGTTTTTAAAGGGAGTCTCTTATGCTCATCAAGGCTGTATTTATTTGATAAAGAATACAGAAAAAAACAGTAATATTGTGAAATATTATTGCAATTTCTAATATTGGTTTCCTATTTTAATATACTTTAGAATATAATTTATTTTTGTGATGCAAAGCTGAATTTTTATCACCCATAACTCCAGTCTTCAGTGTTTAAACTGTTTTGCTACTTAATAAATTTTTTGGGGGACCTGTGATACTTTTTTCTTTGATTCTTTGATGAATAAAAAGAACAGCATTTATTCAAAATATAATTTTTTTTCTAACAATATAAATATTTGCTATCACTTCTTATCAATTTAACACATCCTTGCTGAATAAAAGTTTTAATTTCTTTCAAAAAAAGAAAGAATAA